CTTTTCATTTTCTTTTAGTACTCGCAAGTTTGAAAAATATTTAAAATTGGATCGTGCCAGTGAAGATTTAAATAGCTCCATTTTTACTTGAAAGGCCATTTTTTCTTGCAAACGCGTCTGTACTATATTAATGATTTTCGATATATTACGATATTTTCTCTGTAAAGGACAAAATATCTACACTTAGATATAAAATACTTAGTGTGACAACCCTACTAGAGTGTAACAGTGCAACGTATGTTTGTGTATAATGAACTACCAGCGTTCGTAACACGTTTGCAACACTAGTACAGTTGCCAGATGCGTGAAAACAGAGTAACACATGCTTAAAGCGGCGTAGGCTAAGGCAAAACTCAAGTTATAACTAGGGTAGTCAGTAATGTTGTTGATCATATCCTTATTTCTAATTTTTATTGGAATATTCTATTTTTTTCCTAGACAATTAAATTCATCCTCTTTGGTATTAATCGACCCCCTTTCGACCCTCGTATATTAATCGACCCCTGGAGAACTCTTATCGACCACTTTGGAGACCCCTACTTTAAACTCTGTATTCAGATCACTTTTTCCATTTAACTAATAAATAATCATAAACATTTTTAACAACATTTCAAAGAAATTCTTACTACATTTCCATCACTAGTTTCTTGTATTTCGTGAGATACGCCATTGTAATTGTTTTCAATTTCTTTATGAGTGTAAGAAAAATTTAAAAACTCCATGTATTTTTCAGCTGTTTCCTCTTTTGATAAATTTGCAGTATATTTGTCTAAGTTTCCGACTTCATAATAACTTCCAATAAATTCACAGGTTCCCTAAAATAAAATAAAATATAGGCTATATACGTAAACAATTTTCGAATTGTGCATTTATCGCAAAAAATAAAGCATTAATTATTGATTAATTCAAATTGATTAATTGATTAATGATTAATTAAATAATTAATTTAGAGTATTGAAGTACATGTCTCAGATTCGGATACATCAACTTTATATGATCATATACTTATCGACTATACTGCCTGTTGTGTTACAAGTAATCATCTACTTATATTGAATATCATGTTTCTGTAATATGTCATATGAATTATTCAAGGCTAGCATAACAGTAGTCAAGTTTCGTTTTGTATTCGTAAACTCTTTACAGAATTGAATGTACTGTACAGTAAAACATGTCATTGTTAAGAATGCAAAGAGAATATTCAGTACGCAACTTTTTAGCATTTCAGTTGAATTGTTTCTTGTTATTATTATTTACTATATATTTTTCAAAGTTTCTTCACATGTGAACTACATACAACTTTTCTTCGGATACTTTGGCCAAAAATTTAGTGCTCTGTAGGCAACATCCCACAGTATTAATGTTGTAATTAGTTGACATTAAAACCTTCTCTGTAGAAAATACGTTCTTCATGTTTAATGTACTGCTAAACTCGTGAACGAGAGGTTTTCGTCTAATTTTATTCTAATATTACTGGCTCACATCTGTAAATACTAACGACAGAGTAATACTTCATTCATTAAGATTATTAACTATGTCCTTTACTTATGACTTTGGTACTTTTTGAAGTATTTAAACAAATAAGTTGTCATGTCACCACAAACTCTATTCCTCCGCTTTTTAACAATACAATTTTCATTGTTATTTTACACCACAAGAAATTATTTATATAACAAATTACAAAATAGTAAAAAATACTCTATTTAAGTGCGAAGAAACTCGCGAAACTTTCAATAAATGTTTAACAATAAAAAAAGGGAAAAGTAAGAACTAATATTCCTGCAAACAATCGTTAACTTAATATTAAAAAATAATCCATTCTATAATACATTGAAACAGTTACTTGTGGAAATAAGGAAAAGTGGAAACACCTCGAGTTCCCTAATTTAAATATTATATATAAAAATGTGAACGAGAAATCATATAGAAACATTACTACATAATTTGTTTATACTTAACTAATGCTAATACTTCTATTTTCAATTAAGAAATATTAATCATGATAGTAGGCAGAGAATTCTATTAGATTGATGCATGAGATGTACTAAGTATTTTAACGCTTTAATATATTAATATTGTGGTTAATTTATAAAACTTTTGTAGGTTTTTTTTTAATACAATAGACATAGGAAAATTTATTTTCTTACCCCATTTAGCATTAAAACCTTAGTTGTAGAATTCAAAAACTGTGTTTGATGTGTGACTAAAATGCAAATTTTATCGTTCAAGTATTCCATTATACACCTGAAATGAATGAAGTATGAAATATATGAAGAGAAGTCAATTTCTATTTAAATATTTACTTTTGGAACAAATGTCTGGCTACTGGAACATCGACGGCACTCAATGGATCATCAAGTAAAAATATGTCTGCATCGAGATATAGCGCTCTAAAAAATTATACATAAATATCAGAAAAATAACCGTATTTAAAACATATATAATTACTAACAACAGTTAATGTACAGTATATATAACTTGTGTATAGTTTTTTTTTATTTGATATATCAGTGTATTTATTACATAGCCTAATATAATTAATTAATGCGTATTATAGGCATTAATTATTAGTGATACTTGTAAAATTATTTTATTTAAACAGGACTAATTTTACCTTGCTAGATTAATTCTTGCCTTCTGCCCACCACTCATTATCACCCCTCTTTCTCCTACTAGGGTCAAATCTCCATTAGGAAATAAGCGTATATCCTGCCAATGACAAAAATACAATATACTTTAATTATGTTTTAAAGAAATATATCATCAATCTTTTAAATTCCAAATCATAATTTACGTCTTAATTGAATTGAAGAAAAAATTACCATTATTTTTATGTTTATAATATATCATGCATTTCTGCTTTTTACAGGAGTTTTATCTGTTAACAAGATATACTTTCGTGTATTAAAAGTACATTTTATACATTATATTAAGTATCTTAAGATAGAAGATAAGATTGTCCCAAGGTGCATTTTGAAACATGACAGTGAATAAGATGTGACTTTTTCAGTTTTTCCCTTCGATTCTAACTAACACGAAACATGCTACAGTATCATAATTTCGTAACAATATGCAATTTCGGAAACTGAAAAAGGACTATTTTGACTTCAATTTTAATAAATTACAAAACTTAAAAACTCTCCCTATCATTTGTCTTTCTGTTTGTCTGTCTCCCTGTCTATGCTTAATCTCGTAAACGGTGTTAGACGGATGAAAATCATGACCTGATATGAAAAGTATAGAGCTGGAAACTCCGATTAACTTTATAGGAACTTACGCTTAGAGATATAAGTCACATTATTAAATTAAATTTAAAATTTACGATTTCCACCTCAAATTAATAGTAATTTGCCCCTGTACATTGTTCTTTTCCGTTAGCAATGGAGTCGTATTGGTGATGTAACTCTTTAAAAAAAAATTTGAATTAAAATAACACTACTTTTGTTTAGCGTAAGACATTTGATATAGTTAATTGGGACCTGCTGTATGTAAGAATTTTATATTCACGACTTTCATATCTGTAACTACGTTTTGGATATTAAGAACGACAGTCAGACGAACGAACGAAAGGAGGAAATTTATAGCTTCACAATTTTTTCAAATAGTAGCCTAATAAAAGAAAAGAAATTTTTTACAGCAAATTCTTCCTTCAAAATGGAATCTTTGTTTTTAAAGTATATAAAGTTTTTACCTTCTCAAGGGTCGTTATGTGTAAAACTTTTCTATATCTCTCTTCCTGATATTCTTCTCCAAATATAATATTTTCTCTAATTGTTCCGTTAAATATCCATGCTTCTTGTGAAGAATAAGATATTTTTCCTTTCACTGACACTGTTCCAGAAATAATAGGAATCTCTCCTAATATTGACATCAATAGAGATGTCTGACAAATAAAAAACTTTGGATTACTAAAGAAGAAAAAACACTTAATAATTATGCTTTTAAACACCAATCGTAAACTATATTACTTTAAAAAATGAATATTCAAAAAATATATAATTATATCAGTAAAATTATGTAACATGTTCTATTTAGAAAAGGAATCCAAAATAACTAAATCAGATCCAGACGGCCGTCTAGGTGGCAGCCTACTGCTCTGGGGGACACGGGATCGAATCCAGACAGGGTCAAAAAGCCCTCAGGAATTTTTCGGGGGTGGTCTGTTCTGATATATCAGGCCCCATCCCTCCCCATTCGGCCGCCCTACTGTGGGCCTGGCCGAACCGACAATGGGCTTTTAGAGGCCCTTCTAGTGTCTGCAGGGCGGAAATATCTTTCCGCCCTGCAGGTTCCAGTTGTGATATACAGGAATGAAGTATCACTGTCAAAGTTGAAAAAGTGTCCACATTGGGTGATCAAGACATCACCACTGAATAATAGCTGAATGGAAAACTATCCTATTGTCTTGCGAATCCACTTTCGGAATTTGTTTTGGAAATATTCAACAAAAGTGATTTGTATAGGGGAGATCGGGGCAAGATCGGCATGTTAAGCTTTACTTAAATTTTGTGTAATAAATACTGCAGTAAACTGAAAAAAAAAGCTTTGCGTATTGTCTATTGGAATGTTACCTTACTATAGAACTGGTTAAAATCAGTTTGGAAATAAAAATAATTAAAATAATTACAACTTTACAAGAAGAGAGAAATTGACGAAGTTGCCCCGGGTATTGGGGCAAGATCGGCAACTTCTTTCTTTTTGTAAAGTTGTAATTATTTTAATTATTTTTATTAAAGTTGCCCCTGGTATAGGGGCAACAGTAATGGGGCAAGATAGGCACGTATATAAAATTATGTTATTAACAATGTATAAGTTGGAATTCACTATTAAAACAAAGAAATACAAATCCAACACCCATTTAATATTATTACAACGAAATGCAAGTTCAAAGACATATATACATGAATAACAAATGCAAACATGTTTTCATTTATCATCTGTTTGATTTTTATCCTTTGCTTCTAATGTGGCTTTATGTTGCCGATCTTACCCCGCTAGTCATGATTTCGAAACATTAAGTACAACCCTGAGAACAGAATGCCAAGCCACGATCTGGCCACGTGAATAAGTTGAAGTTACATCCTTCTAACAGGAAAAGTAACTTTCGTTATCATGGAATTATAACAAAACCTGCCAATTCAATATAAATGGAAAAAAAATATTATATGGAATTGAACGAAAATGAAAATTTGCTTGATAATTCAACTACGCTTGTTGGAGAACAATAAAAACACTACACTCAACAAGCCACCAATAAAACTCAACTGCCTAACCTATAACCAAAGTCTCCTTTTATTTTGTTTTTTAAAAAAAGCGCTTGACAAACTTGCCCCGCCTGCCGAAGTTGCCCCGATCTCCCCTAATTACAGGTCAAACTGATACTTTGCTGGCATCGAAATCAAGAGCAAGCATTGTTGTTGATATTTTATTGTACATCTTCTCGTTGTATAGGTAAAGTACATTTCTATGATAGAGTTAAGGTACAAGTTTACGTCAACCTTTTAAAAACAAACTTGCTTTTTTTCGACGAGACATTATTATGCATTCGTCCATTCTCATTCTAGCAAAATAACGTTCTACTGTACACATCTAAGGTACGCAGCAAGCCACTTCGCTAGAAATAAATAAATATGTTACTATGGCGTGAGTGAAGAGCAGATCGCTCGTCTATAGAGAAAATTTGGAAAATTCTGAAAAGAAAAGTAGAGAGGCAATATGCAAGGAGTACAAATCAATTTAAAATAGTATTGTCCGAAAAATGTAAAAGACTGAGTTCCAAAAATGTATAGCCTCTGACTATCATAGCAAAACATTTAGAAATATTCGTCTTTGAGATGATATCACAAAGTAATATGCCAACAGTAATATGCCAAGTGGTGAATTGTCATTGACAATTTTTCGAATTCTACGTATTTTTTGCATCTTGCAGACATGCATCAATGAAAATGTCATTGTTGTATTGCTTTTGTTATTTGAAATGTTCTAATGTGTTCACGTTTTACATATAATTTTTTACATATAATAAACATAAATAAATAAACCATGTGGTCGACTCCTCTTTCATGACTTGTATTATAATTGTGTATAAGTATACACAACTAAGTGAAGTAAAAATCTTTTTGAATAACAAAATGAAATCGTACAGGTACAATCAAAATTTTTAAATTATTGGGTATATACTATATTTTATACACGAACACTAAATAGTAAAACCATTACCTTTCCTGATCCAACAGAACCAATAACAGCTAACAATTCTCCAGGTTGTACGCTTAATGTGATCCCATTTAATGTCCATCCGGTTTTCTAACAAAAATGTATTGGTAAAATACACCAAGTAATTGCGATTAATTATAAAATTTTAATGAAAATATTAATATTATATTGTTTCAAGCATACTGCATGAGGTTTCTTAATATCAATAATTACTTTATTCAATCAATATACATTAAAAATATAATTTACAATTTTGAATATAAAGAAGCAATCGCATCCTAGAAATATAACAATGTTTACGCTGTTATATTTTTAAATTTAAAATGCGAGAAAGAAAATACTTAATCAACCCAAAATATGAAATATTAAGTAATATAAGATAAGTAATTTTAAATTAATTAAACTGGTATATTAGTATTATGCCAAGATTAAAAATTCTTAAAATAAAATTACTCACATTATTCCACGTAGCCATAACATTTTTCATCCATATTCCACATTCGTTTAGTTTTGTCTTTTCATTTGCAATTTCGACTGAATTATTTTCTTTTTCTTGAAGTAGAAGAAAGTCCTACGTAAAACAATCAAATATTACAATCAATAAAAAGATATTGCGTATAACCCTATTTTAAAACACTTATTAATAAATTATTGTAACATTTAAATCTATACGTCTTATGATTTCTTATGTTTCATTATACAAATGTAATATTTGAACGACAAAAATATATTAAAGGTTTAATGCAAGAAAAAGCGTTTCATCAGAAATAGCTGAATGTTGAGTCTACATAGCCTGACGAAAGACAAGCAAAACTACATTTACAGTACATGTATTCTATCTCCGATTAAATCTGTATGAATCTATTGTTTTGTGAATATATTTCAACATATTATTATTTAATAAAACAGTCGTTTAAGAGCGATTCTTAAGAGTTTTCTAATATAAACTAGGCTACATTCTGCAGTAGAATAAAGAAAAGAAACAAATATGAACTTCATCTTTTACTCATGTGTACATATCTCTCTTCGGTAATGACGATATTAAAATTCAAATAATTGAAATAAGAGATCCATACAGTCAATGTAATTTATTGTCTTTAAATCATGGTTATAAAATCAAACAAAAAAAAACACACATGTAATATTTTTTCATATTATTCTTTCTAATTATTGTGTACAGATCTATAACAATTAATCTGCACTGTCTGCCAGCAAAGTATATACACATTGCAAGTTAGATTATATAAATACTTCATTTACTACATCTACATATACTACATGTATTATATTACATATATTGCAATAAAATACAAACCCGAAAGTAACAATACATAAACAATAAAATTAGTAAATGTGATTTGAGATTTATATTTCAGTTTTATTTATCGTGTGGAAATCAAGGGACGTGGCCAGACTTATCCATAACAGGCCACTGAAAAAAATTTGAATATTTGTACTCTTGGGATTATTTTCCGGTCCCACAGAACACTAGTCAGAAATTTAAAAAATCATTGACAATACTAATAGATAGATCCTACAAGTACCTATAAGTCTTCTTCTTTTATATCAATAAAGTAAAATAATATACCGTACCTGTAAATTATATATTTGTGGATATAATGGTTTTTGGTTTGGTAAATAACTCCATGATTTATTAAACTGCAATTTAAAAAAAAAATGTAAATACTGTATATAAATTTCCAATCTTGTCTGTCTGTCCTTCCTTAATCTGGGGATTAGAGATAAAAATATAAAAATGAAGACAAGATGTAGAAACCGTCGATGCAGGAAGTCCCGATTAAATGTACAAGCTAACCGGAAATAATATAATTTCAATTCAAAGACTTTTCTTCAGATGGTGTTAGACAGATGACCAGCACGACTCTATTATTAACGGAAAAGTATGATGAACAGGGGCAAGCCGCTAATAATTTGAGGTGGAGCGCACATATTTTAAGTTGAATATATTAAAAATATGAAAAATTTCAGCCCGGCATTCTGACGATGTCACAATAAATAATAGCTCGTTTAGAATCTATATTTAAAAGACAAAACAGTTTTTCTTAAATTGTTACATATTATTATAGCGAATTAGTGGAGAAAAACTGTAAAAAAAGAGATAAAACTGTGTGCAGCATACCCTATATATTGGTTTATTACTATCTGCTGAAAGAAACGTACTGTACTGTACATTACACCAGACAAATGGACAAATAATGGATTATTTTTCTTTCAGAAAAAATGCAATAAAGTAAAAAGTGAAAATTTCATAAACAGTATTTGTCACGTAGAGAAATCTTAAAATGACTTTGTCCATATGCAAGAGATTTATTGTAAATATTTGAGGCAACAGTCGATTGCATACTATGATATTGTTAATTAGGGCAAACACAAAACAATTGAAAAGCATAGCATTTTTTGAAGTCAATAAAATCTAAATTATAACGGCTTTTACTTGAATACCGTAGTTTGTTTATTTTCTTTCTAATTAACAATTACAACATATATAATAAATATTTATAAAACATTAATTACCCTTGTCTAAAAATATTAATATTAGTTATAATATACAATTAATTAAATCTATGTAATATAATAAAAACTGTAATTATTTTACCTGAATTCTTTTCAATGAAACACGAATTTCAGCAATGAGATTGACTGCTTTCGAAAACAAAACAACGGTGCCAAAATAGATGAAAATCGAAACGTACATTGTGACAAACACAATTTGAGCATTTAACGTGCTTCCAGACAAAACTATGGCAAGGAAAGTAAGACAAGTAAATAGTCTTGACACAGGATATCCCAATGTTAATGGTATTCCTCGAGCATATATAAACATTTTCACTTTCTTCATTTCTTTCCTACAAACAGAGCAATTATGAACATAAATTAATGCAACATATACATAATTGAAGATATTGGACAAAATTAAGATACGTTATTTTCTTTTTAAGCGTTCTTAAATTTCTACAATCATTGAGCAAACTAAATATATATAAGCTATAAATACTGACAAGTTATAAACATATAATATTGCTATTCATCTGTGACTTCTTTTACAGTTCAGAATTTGAAGATGAATTTTCAGGAAAAAAGTCTTATATTATGAAAAGAGCATAAAGGTAGTATAATTATACTTACTTCCTGATTTTTTCTATTAACGAAGCGAATGGCAATTCCCAAGTATACATTTTAACTAATCTCATGCCAAAAATTACCTCGTTCAACAAATTCAACCTTTCGTCTCCCAATACAGCTGTCTGCAATCTGTCATTATGCAATTTATTAAAGAAATACATTCATTTTTAAAATTATATAAAGTAAATTAAAAAATTATAGTAAAAATTTTACTGTCATTTCAAATTATAAAGTTGACACGTTTAATAAAGTTTATTGCATAAAGTGAATATAAGGAATATTTATGAAGTAATTACTAAAAGTGCGTAATTTATTATCAATCGTTTCAAATTTCTAAGTGAATTTATTGCAGTATGTTACATTAATTAACTTTACAAGAATTGGGAACAGTTAAGCTTTATATAATAGTTATCTTCTATGAGGATCAGTGTAAAGAAAAGTTTTAGATGCAAAAGTGTAAGATTAAAGAAATATATTTTTAGATAATTATCAAGTACAGTTTTGTCTTTATAAATAATTACAGATATTGATATTAATAAGAGATTATTAATTAACAGTAAAAGATTTTCACATTTTTGTGATCATTTGATGCCCTTCTTTGTAATTTGTCAGAATGATGAAAAGTTAAAAATCTTAAAATTCTGATAAAATTTTGTGGCACCTTCTCAAATTGAACACAAAATTCGTTTTGTAATATAACTAACATGTGTGACGAGTCTTACATCTAACAGTTCTGTCCATTTTGTTACCAACATTTAGAAAGGATCGGGTTTAAGTTATTTCTTGCCATGTATATGTTCTAATTTTTCTCTTGGACATCAGATATTTAGCAGAGAAGATAATAGAATTTTAAAATTCAGATAAAAAATAACTAGAAAAAGTTTGCAGTAGTTACCATTTTACTATGGAGTCAAAGCAAGCAGACCGCTTCGTAAGGAACAATACACCCAAAACTTTTAATTTACTATGATAAATTTTTCATTTCACATAATCAAAACAGAGTTAGTTTATTGGTGTAATAACCGCAATTTACATTGCGGTTCTACTTACAAAAATTCTACTTACAAAAAGTAACTGTTCTCTATACTTTTGGGCGCATGGCAAGCTAATTGTTTTTGCTACTGTATTTTCAGTTCTCTCGAAGAAATAGAATATTTCTGGACTGATGGTATTTATATCTTAATAGAAATAAATATTTTATAGTTATTAAAGTCAACTCTAGTCCTACAACCTCTTCACAATCAGATTTATAATGAAAAGAATTGGTTTCTGAGCCTAATACTTCAAGGTATATTCTGAGCTAGTATGCATTTTGCAATTATAACCAATCAGAAAATTCAGTAAATGTCACTTTATTCGGGTGATACAGTTGTATAAAATACCACTAAAGATTTTTATATTATATTGAAGTATCTGGCTTCTTGGTAGAAATATTAGAGTTTTAAGTTCTAAACTGATTTCATTCATTAAGTAAAAAAATATTAAATTAAGTAAATAAAATTCTACTAAAACATCTTAGTTAAAAAGTAGTAAACTCACTATACTTTTATTTATTTCAGATGTATGTTATAATTATGTAACTTAAAATAATAATTACCTCAATTTTGAGTATAGTTTGCCCAACAAAAGTTGTAACGGAAAGTACACAAATATGACCGAAAATCCAATTAAAATGGCCCATCTGCAGTATTGCCATAGCATTAATACAGCAGTAATCAGTAGAAAAGGATTTGTGATTAAATATGAAATGGTGAAGATATTCTGTAAATAAAATATAAACATTTAATACATATAAAGTGAATAGTAACAAAGTATAAAATTTATATGTTTACTCGAAGTATTAGAAGAGTGTCGTGAGGAACACAGAAACGTGCATTGGAAGATAAGTTGTGTAAATTTATTTATGTAACAAGAAGATATTATTTAATGCATTAAAAGTAATATTTAGACAATAATCATATAAACTTACGGTATAAAATTTGTTGACATCATTTGCTAGAAGATTTACAATTTGTCCTATATTCGATTTTGTCAGAGATGAAGAACTTAAATTAATTGCCTGCATAGAAATATTTCGAATTAAAATAAATACAAAATAAAATTCCAAACATTGTTATTTATCAAATATTTAGAAAAATAATCATATAAACTTACGGTATAAAATTTGTTGACATCATTTGCTAGAAGATTTACAATTTGTCCTATATTCGATTTTGCCAGAGATAAAGAACTTAAATTAATTGCCTGCATAAAAATATTTCAAATTAAAATAAATACGAAATAGAATTCCAAACATTAACAAAAAACATCCATTGTTATTTATCAAACAATTAATATACATTCTAATTTTTTAATGCGATCAATTCATTTTCCTGCGAATAATGCGTGTCAATGTATACTCCAGAAAATATTTAGAAAAAAAAATGAAATATTTAGCCGTTGCTTTATTTAGGAAGAGGGCTTATGATTATAATCGGCATATAACCCGTATATATTACTTGAATCTTTATGGAAGTTAGTTTAAACTGAGATAACCGACGAGTTATATTGGCAAAAATTCTACTTATCTATAATATAATCGAGACGGGTTGATGATAATAATAATAAGTGCAGAGTCCAAACGGTTAGGAGTTGGAAGCTGAAATTTGGTACACAGTTAGGGTACGTCACGAAAACGCACACTAAGAAGGGATTTTTCGAAATTCCTCCCGGGGGGGGAGAAAGACAGGATTAAGGCTTAACACTTCCATCAACAATGGATGTGTTAAGTAACAATGGCGGTGTTAGGTAACAATGGAAGTGTTAAGTAACAATGGAAGTTTCAACAATGGAAGTGTTTCGTAACAATGGAATTGTTAAGAGAAAGCGACGTGCAAGACGCAGATGCAGTTTTTTTCGTTTTTGCGGGAAATCGAACATATTTTTAGACCTATCTAAAAATTGTCTAATTAGTCCGGAAACAAGGGGACCCAATTCTTGCATTCTGTGAAAACGGGTAAGGTTGACTGTAACGTAATAATCTTTATCTTAGTTATCGTTACTTTTGCCCGAGCCACGCCGGGCCCACCTGCTAGTTATTAATTAAATTGTGTTTTTTTGTTATGAAACGAAATATTATCCATTACTAAAACTGAGACTGCTGCATTAAACCCAATACAGCAGACATTTTATTACCAATAGAAAAAAATTATTACCAATATACAAAGTTTAGAAAAGCATATAATACCAGAACATGTTAAAAATAAATGTAATTTATTATAGTAGTTACCATTTTACTATGGAGTCAAAGCAAGCAGACCGCTTCGTAAGGAACAATACACCCAAAACTTTTAATTTACTATGATAAATTTTTCATCTCACATAATCAAAACAGAGTTAGTTTATTGGTGTAATAACCGCAATTTACATTGCGGTTATTATTACTTACAAAAATTCTACTTACAAAAAGTAACTCTTNACTACTGATGTTTAGCCATTTTGTTTACACATTACATTTCATTATAAAAAACACGAATCGTCAATAATATGCATTTTCAATTTTTATACTTTTCAACTACTGTTTCATTCAGTGTAAAGATCCATAACATTTCATCTTTTAAAAAACTTTTAACCCTTTTGATGCATCTTAAGAATTACCGGAATACACACCGAACTATATACACGTTAATTAATACTTATTTCTATTTTTACTCTAACTAAAAATATACAATCCACTTTATATATTACATAACACAATAGGTAAAGTTGTGACCTCAAAAAGTATAAAATCCAAGAAGTATGACAAACCTTTGAATTAATATAACTGTACTTCCATTAAAACAGTATACTGTTTAATGTTAATAGTAAGCAAATAAAGCTAGAAAACTGAAAAATTAACTACAATATTTTATTTTATAAGACTAAAACAAGTCTGTAATCAAAATGACATAAGTTGAACAAACAAACAGGAATNATAGTGATTCTTTTATTTAAAATATTCAATTATACTATATACAACTACTGATGTTTAGCCATTTTGTTTACACATTACATTTCATTATAAAAAACACGAATCGTCAATAATATGCATTTTCAATTTTTATACTTTTCAACTACTGTTTCATTCAGTGTAATGATCCAAAACATTTCATCTTTTAAAACATTTTTAACCCTTTTGATGCATCTTAAGTATTACAGGAATACACACCGAACTATATCTACGTTATTTAACACTTATTTCTAGTTCTACTGTAACTAAAAATATACAATCTACTTTAAATATTACATAACACTATAGGTAACATTGTGACCTCAAAAGGTATAAAATCCAAGAAGTATGACCAACCTTTGAATTAATGTACTGTACCTGTACTTCCATTAAAACAGTATACTGTATAATGTTAATAGTAAACAAATAAAACTAGAAAACTGAAAAATTAACTACAGTATTTTATTTTATAAGACTAAAACAAGTCTGTAATCAAAATGACATAAGTTGAACAGGAATGAAAACAAAACTACATGTTTATAATGATATATTTAATACTTGCCTTTTTGTATATAAACATTTAATACATATAAAGTGAATAGTAACAAAGTATAAAATTTATATGTTTACTCGAAGTATTAGAAGAGTGTCGTGAGGAACACAGAAACNTACACTCAACAAGCCACCAATAAAACTCAACTGCCTAACCTATAACCAAAGTCTCCTTTTAATTTGTTTTTTAAAAAAAGCGCTTGACAAACTTGCCCCGCCTGCCGAAGTTGCCCCGATCTCCCCTAATTACAGGTCAAACTGATACTTTGCTGGCATCGAAATCAAGAGCAAGCATTGTTGTTGATATTTTATTGTACATCTCGTTGTATAGGTAAAGTACATTTCTATGATAGAGTTAAGGTACAAGTTTACGTCAACCTTTTAAAAACAAACTTGCTTTTTTTCGACGAGACATTATTATGCATTCGTCCATTCTCATTCTAGCAAAATAACGTTCTACTGTACACATCTAAGGTACGCAGCAAGCCACTTCGCTAGAAATAAATAAATATGTTACTATGGCGTGAGTGAAGAGCAGATCGCTCGTCTATAGAGAAAATTTGGAAAATTCTGAAAAGAAAAGTAGAGAGGCAATATGCAAGGAGTACAAATCAATTTAAAATAGTATTGTCCGAAAAATGTAAAAGACTGAGTTCCAAAAATGTATAGCCTCTGACTATCATAGCAAAACATTTAGAAATATTCGTCTTTGAGATGATATCACAAAGTAATATGCCAACAGTAATATGCCAAGTGGTGAATTGTCATTGACAATTTTTCGAATTCTACGTATTTTTTGCATCTTGCAGACATGCATCAATGAAAATGTCATTGTTGTATTGCTTTTGTTATTTGAAATGTTCTAATGTGTTCACGTTTTACATATAATTTTTTACATATAATAAACATAAATAAATAAACCATGTGGTCGACTCCTCTTTCATGACTTGTATTATAATTGTGTATAAGTATACACAACTAAGTGAAGTAAAAATCTTTTTGAATAACAAAATGAAATCGTACAGGTACAATCAAAATTTTTAAATTATTGGGTATATACTATATTTTATACACGAACACTAAATAGTAAAACCATTACCTTTCCTGATCCAACAGAACCAATAACAGCTAACAATTCTCCAGGTTGTACGCTTAATGTGATCCCATTTAATGTCCATCCGGTTTTCTAACAAAAATGTATTGGTAAAATACACCAAGTAATTGCGATTAATTATAAAATTTTAATGAAAATATTAATATTATATTGTTTCAAGCATACTGCATGAGGTTTCTTAATATCAATAATTACTTTATTCAATCAATATACATTAAAAATATAATTTACAATTTTGAATATAAAGAAGCAATCGCATCCTAGAAATATAACAATGTTTACGCTGTTATATTTTTAAATTTAAAATGCGAGAAAGAAAATACTTAATCAACCCAAAATATGAAATATTAAGTAATATAAGATAAGTAATTTTAAATTAATTAAACTGGTATATTAGTATTATGCCAAGATTAAAAATTCTTAAAATAAAATTACTCACATTATTCCACGTAGCCATAACATTTTTCATCCATATTCCACATTCGTTTAGTTTTGTCTTTTCATTTGCAATTTCGACTGAATTATTTTCTTTTTCTTGAAGTAGAAGAAAGTCCTACGTAAAACAATCAAATATTACAATTAATAAAAAGATATTGCGTATAACCCTATTTTAAAACACTTATTAATAAATTATTGTAACATTTAAATCTATACGTCTTATGATTTCTTATGTTTCATTATACAAATGTAATATTTGAACGACAAAAATATATTAAAGGTTCAATGCAAGAAAAAGCGTTTCATCAGAAATAGCTGAATGTTGAGTCTACATAGCCTGACGAAAGACAAGCAAAACTACATTTACAGTACATGTATTCTATCTCCGATTAAATCTGTATGAATCTATTGTTTTGTGAATATATTTCAACATATTATTATTTAATAAAACAGTCGTTTAAGAGCGATTCTTAAGAGTTTTCTAATATAAACTAGGCTACATTCTGCAGTAGAATAAAGAAAAGAAACAAATATGAACTTCATCTTTTACTCATGTGTACATATCTCTCTTCGGTAATGACGATATTAAAATACAAATAATTGAAATAAGAGATCCATACAGTCAATGTAATTTATTGTCTTTAAATCATGGTTATAAAATCAAACAAAAAAAAACACACATGTAATATTTTTTCATATTATTCTTTCTAATTATTGTGTACAGATCTATAACAATTAATCTGCACTGTCTGCCAGCAAAGTATATACACATTGCAAGTTAGATTATATAAATACTTCATTTACTACATCTACATATACTACATGTATTATATTACATATATTGCAATAAAATACAAACCCGAAAGTAACAATACATAAACAATAAAATTAGTAAATGTGATTTGAGATTTATATTTCAGTTTTATTTATCGTGTGGAAATCAAGGGACGTGGCCAGACTTATCCATAACAGGCCACTGAAAAAAATTTGAATATTTGTACTCTTGGGATTATTTTCCGGTCCCACAGAACACTAGTCAGAAATTTAAAAAATCATTGACAATACTAATAGATAGATCCTACAAGTACCTATAAGTCTTCTTCTTTTATATCAATAAAGTAAAATAATATACCGTACCTGTAAATTATATATTTGTGGATATAATGGTTTTTGGTTTGGTAAATAACTCCATGATTTATTAAACTGCAATTTAAAAAAAAAATGTAAATACTGTATATAAATTTCCAATCTTGTCTGTCTGTCCTTCCTTAATCTGGGGATTAGAGATAAAAATATAAAAATGAAGACAAGATGTAGAAACCGTCGATGCAGGAAGTCCCGATTAAATGTACAAGCTAACCGGAAATAATATAATTTCAATTCAAAGACTTTTCTTCAGATGGTGTTAGACAGATGACCAGCACGACTCTATTATTAACGGAAAAGTATGATGAACAGGGGCAAGCCGCTAATAATTTGAGGTGGAGCGCACATATTTTAAGTTGAATATATTAAAAATATGAAAAATTTCAGCCCGGCATTCTGACGATGTCACAATAAATAATAGCTCGTTTAGAATCTATATTTAAAAGACAAAACAGTTTTTCTTAAATTGTTACATATTATTATAGCGAATTAGTGGAGAAAAACTGTAAAAAAAGAGATAAAACTGTGTGCAGCATACCCTATATATTGGTTTATTACTATCTGCTGAAAGAAACGTACTGTACTGTACATTACACCAGACAAATGGACAAATAATGGATTATTTTTCTTTCAGAAAAAATGCAATAAAGTAAAAAGTGAAAATTTCATAAACAGTATTTGTCACGTAGAGAAATCTTAAAATGACTTTGTCCATATGCAAGAGATTTATTGTAAATATTTGAGGCAACAGTCGATTGCATACTATGATATTGTTAATTAGGGCAAACACAAAACAATTGAAAAGCATAGCATTTTTTGAAGTCAATAAAATCTAAATTATAACGGCTTTTACTTGAATACTGTAGTTTGTTTATTTTCTTTCTAATTAACAATTACAACATATATAATAAATATTTATAAAACATTAATTACCCTTGTCTAAAAATATTAATATTAGTTATAATATACAATTAATTAAATCTATGTAATATAATAAAAACTGTAATTATTTTACCTGAATTCTTTTCAATGAAACACGAATTTCAGCAATGAGATTGACTGCTTTCGAAAACAAAACAACGGTGCCAAAATAGATGAAAATCGAAACGTACATTGTGACAAACACAATTTGAGCATTTAACGTGCTTCCAGACAAAACTATGGCAAGGAAAGTAAGACAAGTAAATAGTCTTGACACAGGATATCCCAATGTTAATGGTATTCCTCGAGCATATATAAACATTTTCACTTTCTTCATTTCTTTCCTACAAACAGAGCAATTATGAACATAAATTAATGCAACATATACATAATTGAAGATATTGGACAAAATTAAGATACGTTATTTTCTTTTTAAGCGTTCTTAAATTTCTACAATCATTGAGCAAACTAAATATATATAAGCTATAAATACTGACAAGTTATAAACATATAATATTGCTATTCATCTGTGACTTCTTTTACAGTTCAGAATTTGAAGATGAATTTTCAGGAAAAAAGTCTTATATTATGAAAAGAGCATAAAGGTAGTATAATTATACTTACTTCCTGATTTTTTCTATTAACGAAGCGAATGGCAATTCCCAAGTATACATTTTAACTAATCTCATGCCAACAATTACCTCGTTCAACAAATTCAACCTTTCGTCTCCCAATACAGCTGCCTGCAATCTGTCATTATGCAATTTATTAAAGAAATGCATTCATTTTTAAAATTATATAAAGTAAATTAAAAAATTATAGTAAAAATTTTACTGTCATTTCAAATTATAAAGTTGACACGTTTAATAAAGTTTATTGCATAAAGTGAATATAAGGAATATTTATGAAGTAATTACTAAAAGTGCGTAATTTATTATCAATCGTTTCAAATTTCTAAGTGAATTTATTGCAGTATGTTACATTAATTAACTTTACAAGAATTGGGAACAGTTAAGCTTTATATAATAGTTATCTTCTATGAGGATCAGTGTAAAGAAAAGTTTTAGATGCAAAAGTGTAAGATTAAAGAAATATATTTTTAGATAATTATCAAGTACAGTTTTGTCTTTATAAATAATTACAGATATTGATATTAATAAGAGATTATTAATTAACAGTAAAAGATTTTCACATTTTTGTGATCATTTGATGCCCTTCTTTGTAATTTGTCAGAATGATGAAAAGTTAAAAATCTTAAAATTCTGATAAAATTTTGTGGCACCTTCTCAAATTGAACACAAAATTCGTTTTGTAATATAACTAACATGTGTGACGAGTCTTACATCTAACAGTTCTGTCCATTTTGTTACCAACATTTAGAAAGGATCGGGTTTAAGTTATTTCTTGCCATGTATATGTTCTAATTTTTCTCTTGGACATCAGATATTTAGCAGAGAAGATAATAGAATTTTAAAATTCAGATAAAAAATAACTAGAAAAAGTTTGCAATAGTTACCATTTTACTATGGAGTCAAAGCAAGCAGACCGCTTCGTAAGGAACAATACACCCAAAACTTTTAATTTACTATGATAAATTTTTCATTTCACATAATCAAAACAGAGTTAGTTTATTGGTGTAATAACCGCAATTTACATTGCGGTTATTATTACTTACAAAAATTCTACTTACAAAAAGTAACTCTTCTTATACTTTTGGGCGCATGGCAAGCTAATTGTTTTTGCTACTGTATTTTCAGTTCTCTCGAAGAAATAGAATATTTCTGGACTGATGGTATTTATATCTTAATAGAAATAAATATTTTATAGTTATTAAAGTCAACTCTAGTCCTACAACCTCTTCACAATCAGATTTATAATGAAAAGAATTGGTTTCTGAGCCTAATACTTCAAGGTATATTCTGAGCTAGTATGCATTTTGCAATTATAACCAATCAGAAAATTCAGTAAATGTCACTTTATTCGGGTGATACAGTTGTATAAAATACCACTAAAGATTTTTATATTATATTGAAGTATCTGGCTTCTTGGTAGAAATATTAGAGTTTTAAGTTCTAAACTGACTTCATACATTAAGTAAAAAAATATTAAATTAAGTAAATAAAATTCTACTAAAACATCTTAGTTAAAAAGTAGTAAACTCACTATACTTTTATTTATTTCAGATGTATGTTATAATTATGTAACTTAAAATAATAATTACCTCAATTTTGAGTATAGTTTGCCCAACAAAAGTTGTAACGGAAAGTACACAAATATGACCGAAAGTCCAATTAAAATGGCCCATCTGCAGTATTGCCATAGAATCAATACAGCAGTAATCAGTAGAAAAGGATTTGTGAATAAATATAAAATGGTGAAGATATTCTGTAAATAAAATATAAATATTTAATACATATAAAGTGAAAAGTAAGAAAGTATAAAATTTATATGTTTATTCGAAGTATTAGAAGAGTGTCGTGAAGAACACCGAAATGTGCATTGAAGGATAAATTGTGTAAATAAATTTATGTAACAAGTAGATATTAATTAATACATTAAAAGTAATATTTAAAAAAAATAATTGTATAAACTTACGGTATAAAATTTGTTGACATCATTTGCTAGAAGATTTACAATTTGTCCTATATTCGATTTTGCCAGAGATGAAGAACTTAAATTAATTGCC